TAGGTCAAATCTTGCTAATTGGTCTCCCCATTTATCTCTTTCCATCTTTCTTCCCTAACATGTTATGAAGTTTCTTTCTGCAACTTCTATCAATTTTGTTCTCCATGTTTCTTCTCCCTCTCTCTCTCAGATCCAGTGATTCCCAGTCAATCTGTCCATGATTGCAATCTCTCATTATTAGTAGCTTTCACCTCAAAGGGATAATTCAGCCATACTTTGTATGATATTTATACAAATTTAGTTTGCGTTCTTGCACTCTTGTCTGATTCTTTTATCACACTATTTTTCCTTCCACTGAAATGTTGTAACAATGTCTTCATTGTTGGCATCCTCCTCAAATTTGATTTATTCAAATCTACTAAATAGGTGTGTGTGTGTGTGTGTGTGTGTGTGTGCAACGCGCGCGCGTTCACCTGTGTGCATGCGTGCGTGCCTGTGTGCATGCGTGCGCGCGAGCTAGTGCGTGCGAGCTAGTGCGTGCATGCGTGTGCGACTTCCCCTGAGCCTGCAAGCGCCATAAAAGCAACGATGGCAAGTGTCGACCTGTTGCAACACGGCGCAGGCATTAAAGCCTGACGAACCCTTGAGGCTCGCCAGTGAGGGAGGTCACAGTGTCAAGGATAGTTCACCCCCTGACAACACCACCACCAACACCAGTGTTGCAGAGATATGGCGGTGGTGTTGCAGCAGGAAGAGGGGCGGCGGTGTTGCAGCAGGAAGAGGGCGGCGGTGTTGCAGCAGAAAGAGGGCGGCGGTGTTGCAGCAGGAAGAGGGCGGCGGTGTTGCAGCAGGAAGAGGGCGGCGGTGTTGCAGCAGGAAGAGGGCGGCGGTGTTGCAGCAGGAAGAGGGCGGCGGTGTTGCAGCAGGAAGAGGGCGGCGGTGTTGCGGCAGGAAGAGGGCGGCGGTGTTGCAGCAGGACCGGTCAACGTGGCACAGAATGGGCGGAGTTGCAAGGAGTAAGCGGTGCATGATATCCCCTTATGGCTCCTGTTGATGTGCAACGACCTCCCTCCCGGGTGCTATTGATGTGCAACCCGCCTGCAGAGATGCATCAATAGACTCTCGCAGACACTGGCTCCAGCAGCGTGGAATGTGTGAGGCTGAGGTCTGCAGCTGTGGGTCAGAGCAGGGGGGGGGGAGGAAAGCAGCTTCCTTCCTCCCAGTTGTGACACATTGTTCATCTTGTTGACCACACACTAGAAGGTGAAGGGACGACGACGTTTCGGTCCGTCCTGGACCATTCTCAAGTCCAGGACGGATCGAAACGTCGTCGTCCCTTCACCTTCTAGTGTGTGGTCTGGTCAACATACTTTAGCCACGTTATTGTGACTCATCGCCTGCTTCTTCATCTTGTCTTGTTAAGGGAGACGTATCTGCAGCACACTGATAGTGACTAGGTTAATATGTCTGGCATGACAAGCTCCCACACATCCTCCTCTCACACACATACACCCACATCCTTCCCCCCACATACACCTACACTATTAGAGCGTGCCATAAGCCTATTCAAAGGAGGAAGAGGTGCAGAGTGAGTCATGCACGTCCGGGACGCCTCCAGGCTCCCTGGAGATGAGAGCAGCTTCCCTCCCTCCCTACCCTCCTCTGCCTCCCTCCCTACCCTCCTCCTCCTCAATACTATATACTTACCTTGTCCACTGTTTCAGACAAATATTGCAGCTTCATTATGTCCTTTAATAACTCTAAATTTGACTTAGAAGGCAGCTATGTTGCTATTGAAGTACACCCAGGTGTCAGGAACACCTCGCTTCCCGTCTCATAATGTATACTCTACTTCACAGGAAAATCTCTGATGACCGGTTTAACGAATAATTAGATATTTTCTGTATTTCTCCATGGTGTTCGCGTGTGTATTACATACCATTCCTGTTTTGGAAACTCTCACACACACACACACACACCCGCCTCACACAACAGTACTCGCCCAGTCGTGCTTGTGGGGGGTTGAGCTCTTTGATAAGTGGTGATCATCTCGCCTCTTCTATCTTCTAGTTTTGACATGTTTAACACCTCTAGTCTCTCCCAACTCTTTCAGTCCCGAAAGCCATTTTGTAGCATGCCTTTGCACCTTTTCCAGTTTCTTTGTGTGCTTCTTGAGATTTGGTCACCATACAACTGCTGCATATTCCAGTTTTGGTCTCACAAAAGTCATGAACAGTTTCTTTAGTATTTCACCATCCATATAATTAGAAGCAAGTGTGAAGTTGGAAAGCGACGCATTACGCTCCTCTCACAATGTTCTTTATGTGTTCCTCTGGCAACAGCTTACCACCCAAAACCATCCCGGGTCTTGTTCTTTATTAGTGTTCTGTAATGCCATTCCACATAATTAGTAAGTTGTGTGTTGTCATTTTCTCCGATTCCACATTCCATAACATGGCATTTATCCACATTGAATTTCATTTGCCACTTTACGCTCCAAGCACTTATTTTATCTAGATCAATTTGAACGGCATTACAATCGTCTGTGTCTGCTATCTTCCCCAGTATCTTAGCATCATCCACAAACATGTTCATACAATTCTGTATTTCTTCTGGTAGATGGTTTATGTAGATGATGAACATTACTGGTGCAAGAACTGAACCCTGTGGTACTCCGCTAGTAACACTCCTCCAGTCAGATACAGTCGCTGATTACTGCCCTTATCTGTCTGTTAGAAAAAATTTCATCCCTCTGGAACCGTCCATCTATCATCTCACACATTTCTTTTTCATTCTCGGTAGTCTTGTTCCCGGTTTTCAATCTCTGAATTTTATCTTTTACATATGCAGGCGATGAGCCACAATAACGTGGCTAAAGTATCGACTTGAGAATGGTCCAGGACGGACCGAAACGTCGTCGTCCCTTCACCTTCTAGTGTGTGGTCTGGTCAACATCTTTTACATGCAGCTTGCTGTTAATGAATTTATAGACAAGGCCCTGATCTGTTTTACAGTTACGACGACGGGGACCAAGAGCTAACAGCTCGACCCTCCAGGCACAATTAGGTAAACAGGTAATCACTCAGCATCGTACAGAAAGTAGGAAACACATAAGTCACCTGTATCATCCCTTTTAAACCATGACTTCCACCACCATCATCACCACCACCTGCTGGTGGTAAACAACCACTACACCTAAACTACCACCAAACTGGGCGTGTGATTGGTGAAAGTTGGTGGACCCAATGGTGGGTGCGGTGTGGGGGAGGAAGGAGGGGGTATAGAAGGGGAAGGGTGGGGAGAGGGAGGGAGATAAAAGGAAGATAAGGGGAGAGAATGATAGTGAAAGATGTGTTTCATTGTAAAGCTGCTCCTAAGTTAACATCAAATGCATCATCAAAATGTCTACGCGTGACAGCAGTGTGTGTGTGTGTGTGTGTGTGTGTGTGTGTGTGTGTGTGTGTGTGTGTGTGTGTGTTTGTGTGTGTGTACATACGATACAGAACTCACAAGAGGGTGAACAGGACCTACTTTGAGATGCCTTGAGCACAATCCAAGCACAGTGACACACACGAACCTCAACAATGAACACACAACACTTCAACAATCCCGTCACCAACTACTGACCCTCGCTGTATACAATCACACCAACTTATCTCACAATCAAGCCACCGTCCCTCGGAGATGATTAAACCCAACTCAAATCACTTGTGATATAAAAAGACTATTTGCTATTGAATGGTGTAACTAAAGTTTCGCGAGACTGTTACTTGCTTAGCTACATGAAGTTTGGCATTGTTTGAGCCCATTATGTGTCGCTGTAATCTGTTTCAAATACCATTCACGGGATGGGTATGGGATCCCCTACCATTCACGGGATGGGTATGGGATCCCCTACCATTCACGGGATGGGTATGGGATCCCCTACCATTCACGGGATGGGTATGGGATCCCCTACCATTCACGGGATGGGTATGGGATCCCCTACCATTCACGGGATGGGTATGGGATCCCCTACCATTCACGGGATGGGTATGGGATCCCCTACCATTCAGGGTTGGGTATGGGATCCCCTACCATTCACGGGATGGGTATGGGATCCCCTACCATTCACGGGATGGGTATGGGATCCCCTACCATTCACGGGATGGGTATGGGATCCCCTACCATTCAGGGTTGGGTATGGGATCCCCTACCATTCAGGGTTGGGTATGGGATCCCCTACCATTCAGGGTTGGGTATGGGATCCCCTACCATTCACGGGATGGGTATGGGATCCCCTACCATTCAGGGTTGGGTATGGGATCCCCTACCATTCACGGGATGGGTATGGGATCCCCTACCATTCAGGGTTGGGTATGGGATCCCTACCATTCACGGGATGGGTATGGGATCCCCTACCATTCAGGGTTGGGTATGGGATCCCCTACCATTCAGGGTTGGGTATGGGATCCCCTACCATTCACGGGATGGGTATGGGATCCCCTACCATTCACGGGATGGGTATGGGATCCCCTACCATTCACGGGATGGGTATGGGATCCCCTACCATTCACGGCATGGGTATGGGATCCCATACCACTCACGGGATGGGGTATAGGGTACATTACCGCCTTATCTGTTGAGTACTTATCTCAAAGGGAGATAAACCCAACTTATCTTGTAGATAACGTGATTGTATACAAATTATAAAAATGCAACTGCAGCAGTTTTGTTATTAATTTTGTTTAATGCTTCCGAGGGACGGGAGTTCGAGTCTCTCCTAAAGAGAGGAGCTGCCCTTGACAACACCTTGAGAGCTGTGACTGGAGGTCCCCCCAAGAGGCGTGCTTATGACACCTCCAGGAGCTTAATAAGAGGTGATATGCTGCCTTAATTACATCTTAACACAAGTACCGCACACCCTACCAAACCCCCCAACGCGCACGCGCATACACACACACACACACACACACACACACACACACACACACACACACATATACACACACACACACACACACACACACACACACACACACACACACACACACACACACACACAGAGTGCGGGTACTCACTTGAGGGGACAGCCTGCCGGCATCACAACCTGGAAACAACCAAACCGGTGTTAAATTAGTAGTGTATTATATTATCTCTATTGTTCACATTATTGTTCATAATGCCTTACTGTAATGTTCCATTATTGTTCATAATGCCTACTGTATTGTTCACATTATTGTTCATAATGCCTTACTGTATTGTTCACATTATTGTTCATAATGCCTTACTGTATTGTTCACATTATTGTTCATAATGCCTTACTGTATTGTTCACATTCTTCAATATCAAACTGGCAGGTTATATCACAATGTACACTTAACAGAGAGAGAGAGAGACTTCATTTGTTTCCGCCTTCGCTGAGAATCGAACCCGGGCCATTAGGACTACGACCCCATAGCTCTATCCGCTCAGCCGCGAGGCCCTTGTGTATGTATTTGTGTGTGTATTTGTGTGTGTATTTGTGTGTGTATTTGTGTGTGTATTTGTGTGTGTATTTGTGTGTGTATTTGTGTGTGTATTTGTGTGTGTGTGTGTCTTTGTGTGTGTGTGTGTGTATTTGTGTGTGTATTTGTGTATGTATTTGTGTGTGTATTTGTGTGTGTGTGTGTGTATTTGTGTATGTATTTGTGTGTGTATTTGTGTGTGTATTTGTGTATGTATTTGTGTGTGTATTTGTGTGTGTATTTGTGTGTGTATTTGTGTGTGTATTTGTGTGTGTATTTGTGTGTGTATTTGTGTGTGTATTTGTGTGTGTATTTGTGTGTGTATTTGTGTGTGTGTGTGTCTTTGTGTGTGTGTGTGTGTATTTGTGTGTGTATTTGTGTGTGTATTTGTGTGTGTATTTGTGTGTGTATTTGTGTGTGTGTGTGTCTTTGTGTGTGTGTGTGTGTATTTGTGTGTGTATTTGTGTATGTATTTGTGTGTGTGTGTGTGTATTTGTGTGTGTATTTGTGTATGTATTTGTGTGTGTATTTGTGTGTGTATTTGTGTGTGTATTTGTGTGTGTGTGTGTCTTTGTGTGTGTGTGTGTGTATTTGTGTGTGTATTTGTGTATGTATTTGTGTGTGTATTTGTGTGTGTATTTGTGTATGTATTTGTGTGTGTATTTGTGTGTGTATTTGTGTGTGTATTTGTGTGTGTATTTGTGTGTGTGTGTGTCTTTGTGTGTGTGTGTGAGTGTGAGTGTGTGTGTGTGAGTGTGTGTGAGTGTGTGTGTGTGTGTGTGTGTGAGAGTGTGTGTATACAAGCGCACGTGACTGAGACAATCACTTAAGATAATACAGCTGTGGTTCTAGATACGACCAGTCTATAATACAACCCTTCCTATATTCCCAGTCATACCCCCGATGAAGTGGTGGAGAGGTTGACGTAACAACCCCCCCCCCAGCTCTACACTACCCGTCACAACCCAGGGATAATATTGGTGTAGACAACCTGGTAGTGCCCCTCAGCCGCCACTTTAACGAGCCTTCACAATCACTTTAGTGGCCTTTAATGAGGCCACTTCAATCCACAGTTCTAAAAATTGATGTGACATAGATCTAGATTGATGAAGATTAAGCCCATTGAAGAGCTGGCACGGGCATGAGTAGCCCGTATAGAGGCGGGCCCAAGAGCTAACCCCTGCTACTGGAAAGCACACACACACACACAGGGAAGAAACCGGACGACCTCCATGTAGTACCCAGGAGGAGGAGGAGCACCTGTATACGTGGAGGTAATGACTATGAGTCCCGCGCCTCCACCACCTGGTCATTGAGAACACAAGCAGACCCGCGCCACGCTTACGGTCACACACACTCCACTATCCTCCCTATCCACCTATCCACCTCTCCACTCCGCTAGCCTTCTCAGCCCCTCGCACATCTCCTCACTCACAGCAGCCTGCTGGATAGCGCGCACGACTCGTAATTCTGCGGCGCGGGTTCGATTCCCGCACTAGGCAGAAACAAATGGGCAAAGTTTTTTTCCCCCTTGAATGCCCCTGTTACCTAACAGTAAATAGGTACCTGGGAGTTAGTCAGCTGTCACGGGCTGCTTCCTGGGGTGTGAGTGTGTGTGAGGAAAAAATAAATAGTAAAACAGTTGATTGACAGTTCTTCAAACTTCTCTGATACTTCAAACCAGCCGGGGTTGAAGTACCGTTTGAAGTACAAACTGCACCTTTCCTTGTATGTAACAGGTGTACCTGGTACTGTAACTGCTTATCAAGCAGGTATGACCCCGCAGGTACACTCTAATCCCTAACACAGTTAAGGATTCAAGTGCACTCGGGGTGTATACGCCAGGACACATCTGGAGTGCACATAACCTCCAGCACACAGCCCCGCTCCTGTGCCAGGTAAGTCCACTACGGGCTCACCATAGCCCGTGCTACTTGCCCCGCTCCTGTGCCAGGTAAGTCCACTACGGGCTCACCATAGCCCGTGCTACTTGCCCCGCTCCTGTGCCAGGTAAGTCCACTACGGGCTCACCATAGCCCGTGCTACTTGCCCCGCTCCTGTGCCAGGTAAGTCCACTACGGGCTCACCATAGTCCGTGCTACTTGCCCCGCTCCTGTGCCAGGTAAGTCCACTACGGGCTCACCATAGCCCGTGCTACTTGCCCCGCTCCTGTGCCAGGTAAGTCCACTACGGGCTCACCATAGCCCGTGCTACTTGCCCCGCTCCTGTGCCAGGTAAGTCCACTACGGGCTCACCATAGCCCGTGCTACTTGCCCCGCTCCTGTGCCAGGTAAGTCCACCACGGGCTCACCATAGCCCGTGCTACTTGCCCCGCTCCTGTGCCAGGTAAGTCCACTACGGGCTCACCATAGCCCGTGCTACTTGCCCCGCTCCTGTGCCAGGTAAGTCCACTACGGGCTCACCGTAGCCCGTGCTACTTGCCCCGCTCCTGTGCCAGGTAAGTCCACTACGGGCTCACCATAGCCCGTGCTACTTGCCCCGCTCCTGTGCCAGGTAAGTCCACTACGGGCTCACCGTAGCCCGTGCTACTTGCCCCGCTCCTGTGCCAGGTAAGTCCACTACGGGCTCACCGTAGCCCGTGCTACTTGCCCCGCTCCTGTGCCAGGTAAGTCCACTACGGGCTCACCATAGCCTGTGCTACTTGCAACTTTTGGTTCCCAGCAACTGAATCTAAAGCAACAACAACAACAAACCTCTAGCACTCTCGCCCGTACGGGAGGATCAAGATACTGACCGAAGAGAAAAAGATAAGACAATAAATCAATTTCTTATCACATCTGGACCCTTAACAATTCTTAAATTCCATAAGATTTCCTCGACTTCTCTTAAACGTGGATTGAAATATGTTGGGAAATATATACTAACAGCTCCATTTAAGGCTTGCAAAACTACCCAACTACCCAAGACTTTTTAATATTCTCACTTAAGAAATAAGAGAACGTCCCAAGAAGCCTTCGTCTACTTAATCAGCCAGACACTCTTGGATTAGAAATTATAACACAGCTTTTATGCTAGTTCACAACCTTTAATGTTTCATTCCCATTTGTCCACCTTTGGACTCCCCTACAACCATCTTCTCACCTGTGGACTCCCCCTACAACCATCTTCCCACCTGTGGACTCCCCTACAACCATCTTCTCACCTGTGGACTCCCCTACAACCATCTTCTCACCTGTGGACTCCCCTACAACCATCTTCCCACCTGTGGACTCCCCTACAACCATCTTCCCACCTGTGGACTCCCCTACAACCATCTTCTCACCTGTGGACTCCCCTACAACCATCTTCCCACCTGTGGACTAAATGAAAATCCTGGTGCCAGTATACACCAATATATACAATCCATTCGTAATCAAAATGAATTATGAAAACTTACAAGAAAATCAATCGAGTACAAAAAGGCGACAGCTATGGTGATCTAATTCCAATGGCCTGTGTTCTGTCAGAGGTAATGAGAGCACAGGTAACGTACAGGTAACGTACAGGTAACGTACAGGTAACATACAGATAACGTACAGATAATGTCTCCTGGTGCATTGTTGATGTCGGAGGCAGTTTTACGCGCATCATCATATCTCCTTCTACGGCCGGCCAGATACCCAGGCTGCATAGAATATAAAACATGCTTTGCTGCTCGCATGCACTCTTGCATTCCTGAGGCCCTCCTAAAAGCAATTTGGCTATGCTGTTTGGAGCGCTGACAACAGGCAAACATATCCCGTAGCCCACACACGTGCCAAATCTACACACACACAAACACACACACACACACACACACACACAATGGAATGCATTAGGCAGTGATGTGGTGGAGGTTGACTCCATACACAGCTTCAAGTGTAGATATGATAGAGCCCAGTAGGCTCAGGAACCTGTACACCAGTTGACTAACAGTTGAGAGGCGGGACCAAAAAGCCAGAGTTCAACCCCCGCAAGCACAATTAGACGGGTCCAATGGTAGGTCAGGACAAGGCACTTTAGTACAATAGCTTCTTGACATTGGGAACTCTAACGAGAAGGGACTGGATGTAACTCCCAAGCCTCAGATAAGGTACAACAGACCTCGGGCCACAGCTGCAAGACGGGAACACTTAAGTATTAAACAGAAGTATGCAATACAACACACACTTGTCGCGCGGGTTTGTAAATAACTGGAGGGAGCCTCGAACACAGGCTGGAGAAGCAACATGAAAGAGTACTGGAACGTCAAACAAGTATTACACATCCCCTAGGAAGCAGCCCGTAGCAGCTGTCTAACTCCCAGGTACCTATTTACTGCTAGGTGAACAGGCGCATTAGGGTGACTAATTACAATAGTTATGAGGCAGGGGCAGGTAAATCTCACTCCCCCACAGGTGCAGTTAGGTAAGCACAACCAGACGAGTTGTAGGGATGTAAGGAAACACTTGTTGACCAGACCACACACTAGAAGGTGAAGGGACGACCACGTTTCGGTCCGTCCTGGACCATTCTCAAGTCGACAATAGACTTGAGAATGGTCCAGGACGGACCGGAACGTCGTCGTCGTCCCTTCACCTTCTAGTGTTCGGTCTGGTCAACATACTTTAGTCACGTTATTGTG